TCGATAAGAGAAAATTCAAAATTCCATCCAAGCTTTAGTTCAAGAAGGTAACTATTACATTTGTCAACAGGAAAACAAAAGATTTTTACCCAACAGCCATCACAAAGAAAGTCACAGAAAGAGTACTAGATAGCTCTAAGATAGTTGTAAAAGGTGCAATGATAGAGAGATTGCTATAATGAAAAAGAATGTAATTACAATTTTAGAGAGATCAAACCGTAATTAGAAGTGGTTACCGCAATTAGCATCGTAGGGTAAATATGAAGAAAGTGAGCACTGAAAAGTAATAAAAACAAGATACAATTCGAGTAAAGAAAATTGATGATTCGTATTGTCTGAAAAGTGAGTTGCAATGTTAACTGTTTTTGTTAGAAATTGAGAAAGACATAAATTTTAATAATCTTAACGCCTGCAGATTCACTAAAATTATTGCCAAGCCAGCTAGTGTGATTAGCAGTGCAACCACTAATAACAGCAATATTGGGTGATGGGTTAAGAGAAAGGACACTCTTTTTGATGCTATTTGTAAAAATAACATCAAAAATAGTGCATTCTTGGTATAAAACAAAAAAAAGTTTAAAGAGTGAGGTAGTGCTAAACGAAGTCTGTGGATTCAAAACTAGTTTCCAGACAAATGAGTTAATTTGTAGAATTGTAAATGCCCAGGTCAAGCATATGACTATTAAAGCTTTTACAAATTAAAGGAATTACTAATTAAAGCTAAGATCACAAGTTGAGGCATCTGAGCTCATGTTAGTCTCACAACAAGCAATAGGGGTTGGTGAATTATGCAAGAGATATGACTCCAATAAAAAAAATACTAGAAAAACCATGAATATTAGTGAATAGATTTAAAAAACATATTGATGATGCTTCTTATGTAACTTTTTTGATTCAGGCAGAAATGGAATCTTTTTTTAACTCTCAACGAGTCAAAATCAAGCTTTACGATTCCCTATAATTTTCTTTTCATCATACTGCTGCAATTTTCAATCAAACCCAATACTTATATATCTGTTATTGAAACAATTCTCAAGGAAAACAAACTTCTAGACAAATAGCTAGAAACAATTGTAAATAGTTTTGTTTAATGCCAAAGCCGAATAATATCAATTTACAATATTTTGTACTTCATTTCAAAAATTAGGCTGCAGAGACTAATGGAGAATTTTTAACAGTTTTTTATTTCTAACAATACAGGCAAATCTGTTATCCCATCTTTCTTGCCAGGTTCAGATTTTGTTACCTAACCTTACAAAGACAAAGCTAAATTGTTTGCTAAGAACTTCCCACTGAAACTACCTCTTGGTTCTACTAATAGCATCCTAACTGATTCAGCCGACAAACAGGTTGATCCAGTGCTTGAAATTTGTATTACTACAGCTTTTGTATCGAAGGTGAATTTATGCTAAGACTCTTATTCAGCTAGTTGTGTGAACAACATACCTGTTAAAATCTTGAAAAAGTGTTCTCCATAGCTGTAATCAATCTTTCAAAACTGTTTAACTATTGGTTGTCAGAGTTTTGTTTTCTAGCCTGGTAGATGGGGACATCTGTTTCCCCTATTTTCAATATTTTTGGAGGGTTGTCTGATTTGTCTAACTACCGGCATATTAGTCTTATTTTTGTCATAAATAAAGTTTTTGAGTCTTTCATTGATAAAATTTTAATCTCTTGTCTTTAATCTAATAAACTACTTTTAAGTTATCAATATCTAGATTTTGATATTTTTTTTCTTCTTCTGATTTGTTAATTGTAATACCTGACAGGTTTTATCGTGCCTTAGATAAATGAAGAGAAGTTAAGGCTATTGCTCAAGACATTTATATAGCCAAAGTTTGGCATACTGGTCTTCTCCATAAGCTTTCTTCTTACGATGTATCTGGTAACATCTTTATATTTATTGAATCCTTTTTTAGCAATTGTAGAATAAAAGTTGTACTTGATGATTAGGATTTTTTTCATTTTCTCTAACTCAAGGGGATTCTTGATGTTTTATTTTCGGTCCTACATATTTTTTTATTTATTTTAACGATCTCCCAGAAATTTTAGTGCTTTATTTTAAGAAATCTATGGTAGCATAGTTCGCTGACGAAACTACCATTTATTCTTGCATGATTAAGAAGCTAACAAGTTTTATTTCTTTGAGGGGGTATATGAACTTGTAAAAGCTTTCACTTCTCTGCTTGGGGCTTTCAGCGCCTGGTGAATTTTAACTCAGAATAAATAGGAATCGTTGAATGATTTCTTTTCCTCTTTTAGACAAAATGCGAAAAGGTGTTGTAAATATAGTTTAAACTGCTCTTGCAGCCCACCTTCAATCATTTTCATAATTTTGTTTCTTATTCTCTTTTCTTTAAATAATAAGCACTATTTTCAAGATCTATCGTCTTGTGTTCCATTTACAAAATTTCATTCTTTTGTTACTCGTCATTCAATAAAGTCTCATTCATTTACTGTGTTTGTCCCTAACAACTTAAAAACTTTTTTACTAGTCAAGTTTTTTTTTTCCTTAAACGTTAACTTTTTGGAATTTGATCCTTTTATCATGTTTTTCTGATTCATTTAGTTTTCAATTTTTTAGATACTCCGTTCATCGTTATCTTGTTTCACAAAGTTATTTTTTTATTCCGAGTAAATTCAAACTCTAAAAGAAATTGCTTGGAGTCTCGTTAGAAATGAATATGTAAGCAAAAAACATATATTTTTTTTAAAACTTGAAAAAAATAAAAAAATTTTATTTTGTTTTTGTCTCGATTTTTTTTTAATAATAATTATTTGAAAACGTTTAAATTTAACTTTAGTTCCTAAGCAATACAGATGCAAATAAATGTTTAATTTTTACTTAAATTGACATGCAATTTTTAAATATGGTAAAAAAAATTTTTTGTTGTGTGTAATTGTTCCCTACTTAAAACTCAAAAAATGTATTTTTATTTTAAGCTTTATTTGTTTAATTTTGCATGAATAACTTATGAACAATTATAAGCAATATACCACTAGACTTTATAAACACAGTTATAAATAATATACCAATTGACCAACTTCTGATTGGTATTTTTTAAAAACTTTCATAACCATAGTGTTTTTTTAGAGTTACTAAAAAATAGCTAAACAGTTTAAAAATTTGGTTTTTTGTTGATTTCAATAACATCAGTGTGTATAAAATAAATGAAATTACATTACAATTACAAATTATATCCATAGCCCATAGCTTAATGAATTCTAGATTACGACGGTTTATCATATGCAATTTAATGGTTATGAAAGCAAGGTTGTTAGTAAAGTTTATTTCTAACATGAAAAATAATTTAATTGTTGTACACTTTATAGTGTATTACTTTTTTGCTTGATGTTTATTTAGATGCTGTGAAGCTGTTTAACCCCAAGAAAAAAAGTTCTGCAGAATTTTATTTAATTCCTATAAACCTTTGAAATTATAATATTTTTTGTAATTTCTATTAATTTTTGAAACACATTTAGAACATGTATCAACTTCTATAGAAACTGTTATAAAACTTTTTTTTCTATAGAAAAAAAAAGGAAAAAAAAAAGTTCTATAGGAATTTCTATAGATATTAACAGACATTCTACAGAAATTCTGTAGAATTACATATAGTTTCTATATCGGCCATATGTTTCAAAAGTTTATAGAAATTCTATAAAACTTTTTTTTCTAGGATTTGATAAAATGTTTGTTGGTGTTAATCAATATTCTTTGTTTTCATCTTTAGGATTTTAATTTTTTTCTATTGCTATATATATTTATTTAACCATAAAATATGAAAAAACATTAATATGTTATAAATTTACATAAATAAGGATATGCGTCATTCATATAGTTAAAAACTAGTCAATTAAGTGACACCTTTAAAAAAAAATTTAAGAAAACTATAAATAAAAAAATATAAAGAATTTAAAATAAAAAAATAAAATAAAAAAACAAAAGGGAAAAAAAATGAAACACTATTAAAGATAATAATAATAATTACAATAATAGTTTAACAAAAAATAATAATAATATTAATATAAATAAAAATAATAATACTACAAGTAGTAACTATAATATGATAGCTTTACTAAAAACTATGACTAATTATAAAAAAGATATTTATAAGTAATAATATTACTAATTACTGTGTTAATAATAATATAATAATGATAATAACATGAATAAAAAAAAAAGTTACAAGTATTAACGATAATATAACTTTACTAAAAATTATGACAATCATAAAAACGTTGGTAAAAATAATTATAGTAAAGTTTATAACTATGACATGAATATATTAAAACCAACATAGCATTTGCAAAAAATATGACAATAACAATAAAACTATTACAACAATAGAATCACTATCGTTATTATTTTAAATAATACAAATAAGGATTTTAAAACTAGAAAAATTAAATATAGTAGTAATTATAGTAATAGAGTTAAAAAATAAAAAATAAAAAAAAATAATAGTAGTTTTACAAAAGCACTCATGCAATAACAATAACTAATATAATAACATTAATATTATCAAAAAATAAAATTAATACTCATTATATAAATACTCAATTAAAAACATCTTAAATTTGTTTTTATTATGAAGAATAATGTTGGTAAAAATTGGATGTGTAGTTATAAGTGAGTTATAGAAGTGTGCAAGTTAAAGTTTTTAGTGTTTCTAGTGTACTATTTGAGTGTCACGTGCTTTAATAAAATAATTATCAAACGAATAGTTTACTTTGAAAAAAATTTAACACAAATGCACAAAACTACATTATAAACTTTACTTTCAAAATTTTGAATCTCAACTCTTTTAATTCACCATAGTTATTACCATTTATGACTTAGTTGTCTATTAAATAAATCAGTAGTCAATTTTATATTATTTTTTTAAAATCACTTTTATATACTAGCAATTATATAATAAAACAGCAACTTATTTTTATTTTTTTTATTTTTTTGTTTTTTTCTTTTCACATTTAAAATGTAAATTTCTTATTTATAGTGTCTAGAAATGAAAAGGCTTCTGATAAATTTATTTCAAAGCGTTTTGGTGTGGTAAGCTATAATATTAAAAGAGATTGGATGCAATGGGGACACCTAGATCTAAGTAATTCAGATATTAATAACACTTACTCTGATGACAAAAATTGTTATAAAAAAAAATATAATGTTTTAAAAAAATGGAAGCAAAAAGGTGGAAACCCTTCATGGGAGCAAACAAATATAAAGATGACAGCTTTTGACCGTTTATATAATGGTGATCAAATTGAACAAAAATGTAGAGGTAAAAATACTTAACAAAAATCTCAATTTAGTTCTACTTTTCTGTATTTATTAACGTATATGCGTCCCATATGTGGCTATAATGTTTATCCCACTAAAACCACACTAAATAAGAACGAACGCCACTCTTCATTTGGACGTAAAAGTATCATGTGGCCCACATGTGGGAAGCATATGTTAGCCATATATATGCCACTCTCATTTAAAAGATGATGTAGGCGCTTTTTATATGTGGTTTTAATATTTATTCCACTAAAAACACACTAAATATGAGCAAGTCCCAGACTTCGATTGCATGAAGAAGTCATATTTATTTTTTCAGTGTATCATCTGTTGAACTATCAGTTTTTCCTATAAGTAACCAAAAAAAAACACTTAAAAATAAATAAAATTATCATAAGGAGTATAAGAAAAACAAAGTTACTGAGTAATACAAGTATACTAAATCACAATAAACAAATATACTAAACAGCAATATAATAACGCAAGTTTGTAATGAAAGTTATTTATTTAATTATTTAATTAAACATTAAAACTTTAATATGCAAAATATAAAAGTTGCAATTACTGGTTCTATCTTGTTATGTTGCAACTTATTTGGCTTTAGATAAATACTTAATAAACAAAAAGCTCTGATATACTTTATTTGAATTTGAAACCAAAAGCATTTTTTTTTGGGGGGATTTTTTCCGAGGAGATTTTTTCTTAGAAACTATCAAAAATTTAAATTAATGCAGAAAATATAATATGATTATATTGATTACCAATACTTACTTTTAGTGACGCATTACAATACAATTTATATACGGTTGCAAAAGTTTGCTAACACTGTCCGCTATTTTAAAATATAATGTTGTTTAAGTATAACTATAAATTTGTATTCGTTAAGTATAATTCTGATTTACAAACTTTATGGAAAGTTTTTTTAGAACAAAAATTCTCTAATATATTCATTACAAAACCGCTCAAACATTTTTATTTTTATTTATTTTTTTATAACAAAATTATAAACATATACAGTTTTTTATAAATTTTATAATATATATTGTATACTTATATATAAGCAGGGCCGTACCAAAAAACGAAGACTTGGGGGAGGCGGGGAAAATTAGTGCAAAGGGAAAAAGCTAACTTTACAGACAAAATTTTAACCGACAGAGTCCCAAATATTCCAATTTTCGAAAAAATCCGACAGAATTTTGTAAGTCTGGGTGGAGTGGGATGTCCACCCCACACACACTCGGCCCTGTATGTAAGTGATATAATTTTAAATAATATTCTTTTAACAATATGCCGTTGTATCATCTAACAAATTGTATATTACAATAAGCAAAAGTCTTAACACACCTAGCTTTTTGTTTTTTATTTTATATATTTACACTTTCTCTTTTATATATATTTATTTAATAGCTCAAACATACTTACAACAGTTATGATAATTGGCTTACCGTTTTGATAATTGAAAATTATCAAATGGGTAAGCCACATGATATCATGAAATATTCTAGACTTTACAATGCATTACGATAGAATTATTACAATTGGTTAAAATTTAAAATTCAAATGAGGCAAGATCGTGAGTTTAATATGTATGGCCCATATGATAGCCACATCAAATTTAGCACGTATTTTTTTAAGGATTATGCCACGTTAAGTAGAATAGTTTAGTTTACCGCATTATGTGTTCCACAAGTGGGCCAGACTTATCTACATCAAATGCGTCATTAATTAACTCAAATATATTTTTGCACTTTAAATTCACACATAAGCACTATGACAACATGTGGGCCACATATATCTTTCTTTTTGGTCTTCTGTGCACAAATGAAACGTTAAAAAAAGAAAGCTTTTTTAACGATAAACAGAATAATTAAAATAAATAATTAAACAGAAATAGTTAAAAGTGATACCTCGGATCATTTTCCTATTTTTTTATCTATAAATGTTAATACAGATTTAATATTACATGAAAGACAGGTTGTTATTAAACGCTTTATTAATGATAAAAATTTTTTATCATTTAAGGAACAATTATTCTAATAAACTGGAATTCAGTAGGGTAAGGTTGCCGATATTGTACCCTCTAAGAGTAAAAGTGAAAAATAGAAAAAAAAAATACAAAGTAGAAACAATGAGACTTTATTTAATTTATAATTTGGGGATAAACTGTTCTAAAAAAGTTGAAATATTCAAATATTTAAACGTAGTTATTTGATAGGGAATTAAATTTTAAAAACACGCTGTCGGTACAATTATGGAAAAAGATCCTAAATTGTACCATTATAATCCAATATTGTACCTATATCTTAATTTTACAAATACTATATTAAGTTAAAGCACATTTTAAATGATTTTTATAAAGATCTTTTTCTGTGCCAAGCAATATAAAAAAGTTTCTAAAATAGTCTGAAAACATCTCAATAAGGTTTAACTTTTATATTAAATGTGTAACTTACTTATGTGGTTTCTAAAATTTTGGTAAGAAAATGATGGATATTACTGCACATTATATTAATAATACAAAACAGAAAATCTTTATTTTTGACAAAAAGTTACAAATATAACGTTTTTGTTTTTGATTAACACCTGCACAGTCATTATGGCACCAGCCTTGACATGTAAGGCATTGTATCATACTCTTTTTTATATTTTCTTCACAGAGGTAGCAAAACCAGCTTTCATTTTGAAGAGATTTATTTGCTTGCTCACACTCTTTCAAACATTGTTTGTCCTGCTTTATTTATTTTTTGGTTGCAGTAAAGCTCTTCCAGAGAGTGCATCTTTGTAAGGACTACTCGTCAATACAGTTGTATTAGAATTATTTTTTTTTCTTTTGAGAGGAGAAGTTCTAACTAGAAGTGGAGATAATGTTTTTATTGGTATGTCAAGACACTGCAACCTAAAAAATAACCATTAACAATTCAAACAAATTTTCTTCAGACTAAAAATTTTCAGCTAGTAAAAATTAGCTTTAAATTTTCATTTTAATTAAGAAAATAGTAATATTATGGATAACCTTCGGAGATAAACATGTGTGTGTGTGTGTATTGTGTGTGTGTTTTGAGTGTGTGTAACCATTAATGTAAAATTGCAACAAACAAAATAAAAGACTTACTGTTCTGTTTTTTTCATTGATGATAATAAAGTTACGTTAGAGAGTGGGTCATTATGTGCATTATGTTTCAATAGAGTAGCTCTAGATTTTTTTGGATTTTGCTCGAGTGAAGAAGTTTGCACTGGATGTGCAGAAATTGTTTCTAAAATAAGTTCATCCTAAATAAAAGAAACGTTAAATAAAAAATATATAGTTAGAACAACGGTAACAATTATGGTATTTGAATAAGTTGAGAAAGAAAAATATGTGATTAAAGGCAAACTATGACTAAATTTACTGTTTGGGAAGATTTTGCATTTGAACTCATCTCTCCACTGAGTATTTCGCAAGGTACAAAGTCCTCTTCCCGGAAAACTGAGCTGTCTACCGGCCATATCCCAGTGTCTCTAAATCCATTAATAGCAATTTTCATACCAACAACTTTTGAGTAAGCTTCGCCAAACAGTTGAGATACTTGATATTGAGTAATACATCTGCCTGGATGGGTTCGCATCCATTTATCTCAAGCAGTATTATATTTAGAATTTAAAGCTTTAAAAAAAGATCTATCTAAAGGTTGTAGCCTATGAGTAGTATGCGATGGCAAAGAAAGCATTACTACTCCGTGATCTCGAGCTAGAACTAAGGCTTCAAGGTTTTTTGTCTGTGTTGAATGCCCGTCAAGTATAAGAAGAACTTTTTTTTGTTCTGGATTTTCTGCAAGAGGTTTAAGACAAAGCGAGCTTATAAAATGACTTATCCACAAAGTAAATAAATCTTTAGTTATCCAACCAGTATCAGAACATCCAAAAACTGTCAATGGTGGTGCACCATCTTTAAGCTCATTTTTAAATCTTTTACGTTTAAATATAAGCATAGGAGGTACAAAAGATCCAACAGCATTCATACAACATATGGCAGTGGTATTCACAACCCTTTCACCACTTGTAATACCTCCTACTTGGTGTTTACCTTTCAGAGCAAAAACTTTCCTTGGTTTGTGAACTGTACTTATTCTAGTTTCATCTACGTTGTAAAGCAAATCTGCAGTAATATTGTGGTTATCAACAAGTTCAGTAAGTTTATTGAAAAATAATACAAACTTTTCGTTACAAAAACTTGTGGCTCTTGCCATAGGAGTTGGTTCAGGTAATCTCAAGCTAAGGGTTAGATTGCGTTTCATGAATTGGTAATACTACTTCTTTCGAGTCATACTAACATCTTTGTTGAATTGATGAGGTATTTTGTTTTTTTCAGCAATTTCAAATGCTAATCGTCTAAGATCTATTGTATTTATTCCAAACATACAAGATTCCAGTTTCAAAACATGTTCAACTAATTCTTTCTCAACTTCAGAAGGTAAGATACTACACCTACCTAACTGTTTATTTGATTCATTTGCAAATATATTTTGATGATTCATATGTCTTTTTAATGTTGGTTTAGGAATTCCATATTTTGCACATACAGCGTTAAGTCCAATTTTACCATTTTGATAAGCAAAAATAGCCTCTTTCATATCTTCCTTTTTCCACAAATCATATCTGCGTTTCGACATTTTAAAATTCATATTATTTTTATATACTTCACGCGTGTTTTGAGCATTCAAAATGGCAGCCTTGGTACAATTTAAGACCTTAAGTGAGGTAAGAATTACGCGACTAGACTCACTTTGAGTTTATAACGAAATTAGACAACAAATGCTAATGTATTTTAATATCTAGGAATTTAATTTGAATTCAAATAACTAGTGCTTTCACATAAATATGATAAAAAAGACATATTTAACATGTTTAAAGTCTAAAAAATCTAAACATTGAACCCTAAAAATAAGAAAACTTTGGCATCTTATCAACTCGAGGTAACTGCTGCCAGAATCTAGTTTCATCTCACGAAAAAACAATTAA